ACTAATCTAGGCACAGCTGTGTGAGGCTATCACACAGGGAACAAAAGGCTGTGAACCAAGGACATGAACATGGGATTCTCACACTTGCCACAGAGGGGTGTGTGTTTTCCTGTGATTTAGAAACACAGAGAAATCTAATCAAATGTTGGTATTAGTCCCAACATTTGACACGTTTTCCCCTCTACGTGCAAGTGATCCCACCCAAATAAGCCTTATGAAGGCCCTCTTTTGTAAGCTGGCTGCTCACCTGGCCTTTTCACCATGGCCACTAGTGTTGACTACAGTTCTCAGGTGTGGCTCACATGCTAGGTACCGAAAGGGGCTCTCTGACTTACAGCTTTATCAATGCATGTAATCAGATGCACTTGATACAGCCACTTTGGAAGTCAGTTTGGCAATTTCTTACAAATTAAACATGCTCTAACCACATGTTCCAGCAATAGTGCTCTTTGGTTCTTATGCAAAAGAGTTGAAAATTTACATCCACGAAAAGCCTGCACATGGATATTTCCTGTGGCTTCATTCACAATTGCCAAAACTTGAAAGTAAACAATATGCCCTTCTGTAGGCGAATATATACATAAGCCATCCAGACCATGGAATATCATTCAGCACTAAAAAAATAAGCTAGAAACCACAAAAAGATATAGAACCTTAAATGCATAATATTAATACCCAGTGAAAGAGGACAATCTGGAAAGGCTACATATGTATGCTTCTACTACATGACACTCTGGAAAAGGCAAAACTATGGAGACAGTAAGATCAGTGGTTTCAAGGTTGGGAGGGATGAATAAGAAGAACGAAGAAGATTTTTAGAGTAGTAAAACTATCATTTAGGATATCATACTGATCATGCCATAACGATGGATACACATCATTATACATCCATCCAAGCCTATAGAACATACAACACCAAGAGTGAACCCTAAGATAAACTATGGACTTTAGGTGGCTGTAATGTGTCGGTGTAGGGTCATGAATTGTTACAGATGTATGACTCTAGTGAGGAATGTTGATAATGGAGGAGGTTATACAGGTGTGGGGGAACGGGGTATATGGGAAATCTCTGTATTTTCTCCTCAATTTCTCTGTCAACTTAAAACGACTCTAAAGAAATAAAGCCTTAACACCATAAATGAAGTAACGAATAAATAAATAAGTGAGCTCTCTGCAATAGCTGCCAGTTAACTTAAGCTACTTATAGTTCTTCATTTATTCATTCTAAAAATATTCGAGTGCTTCCTACATTCTAGGCACTGAACTACTGAGCCAAGGGCAGAAAGCAACAGTGCGAGTAATACACAATGTTTTCTACGTAAACCCAGCCTTCCTCTCTGGTGAACTGGTAAAAATCCTTAGACAGTCTCATCCAGAAGTCTGTGTGGTTCGACACAGCTCCTTTCCTTCTCTGTTGTACAGTAAACTTTTTCTGCCTCACTCTCAGGAGTTTGTGCTGTTGGTGGTAATTAACCCCAATGACAGAAAATTCTAAATTTCTCCATTTGTACATGCGCGAGTTCATCCTCTTAAGTTCAGCCATCACTTTGTCAATAATATTCATGCATATTGGTTATGGCAGAAATCCACATATGCTGGAATTTAAGAAACTTCCTCTTTTTCAACATATATTTTTCAGTGTCCTGCCAGCCCCTTTGCCTGGAAACTCTGCTCACACCATCCACCTGCACTTCAATGGAGCATTGAGGCGCGTTTCACAATCACTCACTTGCTGAAGGAAGTAGAAAGCTTCCAAGTTTTCAAACTTCAGGAACCTTCAAGAAAACAAACTTCAGGTAGTTTAATTACTTGGAAGAGTTTCCTCTATTCCTCAGAAGTTCTCGAACTTCCTGTTCAACACCATTAGAAACTTCCTCAAAAGCTGGCATTCCTCTTAACTCCCCGAAATTACTGTGCTCTCTTTCACAGTTGCTGCCCGAATTAAGGGATTGCTAATATTAAATTCCTATTTAGTGCACTGAACAGGACGTGCATGGTCCCGGGCAATGGGTAATCGAGCGAAGGTCAGTGTGTCTCATCATGAGCTTCCCATGAATCACTTCAGGACCCGAAGTTGATGCCCCTGCTTCCCTGGCCTCAGTCTGGCAGACTGTGCAAATCCCAGCTCAAGCCCACTTGCTTGATCTCTGTGGTCTATGATGGGCCATTTCTTTTCCTTTCTGCATTTTTAAGAAAATGTTTTATTTTCAATAGTCATAGTTAAGGTCAAGGGTACAATCTTGAAAAGTGCAAAATGTTGACAATTTTGGATGGCAGATCTGGACAATCTGAGCCAAATGATTTTCAGTCCCTGTTCTAGCAAATTATCTGAAGGCTGCTGCTTCTTTTTTTAATTAAAAAAATTTTTAAATTTATTTTTTAGAGAGAGGGGAAGGGAAGAAGAGAGAGAGAGAGGAACACCAGTGTGTGAGAGATACAGCGATTGGTTGCCTCTCGCACGCCCCCAGCGGGGGACCTGGCCCGCAACCCAGGCATGTGTCCTGATCGGGTTTGAGCAGGTGCTCAGCCCACTGAGCCACTCCAGCCAGGGCATGAAGCCTTCTTCTGAAATTCACTTTTTGTCCTTCTAGGACTGGATCAGGTCAGCTTGCCAAAATTGACCAGGTTATTTATTTACTTAATAGAAGAAAATGGCTCAAACTATTTATCCAGTAGATATCATTGTTCTCTGTTCTCATCTCAAGATCCCCGATGACACCAAACTTGGTGTCCATTAGTGGAGGAATGGATGAGGAAAGTGGGTGGGCTGCATGCTGTGGCATCTTGTGCTGCAGATAAAAGCAACAAGTGAGATGAATAGACAACAACAATCTTAGCTCTTTAAAACATAGTGCTGGATGAGAACAATATAGTAAGAAAAAACTATAGCACATACACACAAAATGATATGTTTTATTTTATAAAAGAGCTTTATTTTATAAAATAAGAGCATATATATATATATTTTAAAGATTTTATTTATTTTTAGACAGAAGGGAAGGGAGAGAGAAAGAGAGGGAAAGAAACATCAGTGTGTGGTTGCTTCTCACACACCACCCACCAGGGACCTGGCCCGCAACCCAGGCACATGCCCTGACTGGGAATTGAACCAGCAACGCTTCGGTTCACACAGATCAGTATTTAATCCACTGAGCCACACCAGCCAGGGCAAGGGTACTTATTTTTAATTTATTTGTAGAGAGAAAGAGAAACATCAATTTGTTGTTCCACTTATTTATGTATTTATTGGTTGATTCTCGTATTGGCCCTGTCTGGGGAGGGGTCAAACCCACAACCTTGGCATATCAGATGACACTCTAATCAACTGAGCTACCCAGCTAGAGCCTAAGATAAGGGTATATTTAAAGAGATATAATGCACACATGAAAGTGGGTACTTAAAGTGCAGAGTGGGGGTTAGGAATGGAGGGAGAAATAAAATCAAGCGAGAGAAGCCATGGTGAAAATGTGATCATAAGTTAGTATAAACTGAGAAGATGAATTTTTTAAAACCTCAAAAAAGGCACAAATAAATAATAGTTTCAGAAACATCATCCTGTAAATTAATATTTCTTGTTAGCTTCCATGGAATATGAACATTCTGAAAGATACATATTCCCCCAAAGCAGATTCTATGATCTAGCACATTTGGAAAACGTAAGTGAAATAAAGCTAATCAGGTTTTTTCGCTTCAGGTGTTCTCAGAGCCTACGGTCTAACCTTAGACCTCAGCCAGGAAGAGGTTATGGAGCATTTCCCAAACTTCTTTACTCTTCAAAGGCTTTATGCCAAATGCTGTTTTGCAGAACACCGAGCAGGAAACGATGCTCTAAACACTTACCCCAGTTACTTTCTTCCCTCAGGGCATTCTTTATAATCTGCTCCAGCCTGTGCTAGGTCTCATCTTTTCCATGAAGCCCGCTCTGCAACCCACAATAATCTTTATTTTGATTGTATTGATGCAACTCTCTGGCCTTTCTCCAAAGGCCAATAAGCAATGAGATCAAAACACTTTACTGTTGCTGCAAAATACTTATTACCGCAGCAGCAACAGCAGAATACAGCAGGCAGACTTTACTGTTGCTTCTGCATACACTGTTTTTTAAGGATGAGTGTGACGTGGTTTTTAATCTACATCCTAGTTTTTGGTTAAGTTGACTTGAATACATTACATGGATCCTTTCAGCCAATCATTTCACAGCATCTAATCAATTGAGGTTAAAGCAATTTTTACTGCCTGCCTCTCTGACTAGGAGGTGAGGGTGGATGGTTCATATTTATAAAGTTTCTCAACAGCCACAGAAAATGGCTTTCTTGGCAATGTTTTGATGCTTCAATACATTTCAGGAAAAGTGAGAAGGTTAAGCAAGGAAAACAATAGGCTTTCAAACACAGCTTCTGGTCAGTTGGTTTCTTAGCTTTGCCTAACCCTGTTCATTACTAATATTCTATGATGGAGATGGTGATGATGATGACAACGATGATGATGGGGGAAAAGGAAAAGAAGACTATGGAGGTGGTGGCAGCTACCGTACAAAGCCTGTATTTCAGGGCAGACACCATGCTAAGGGCCTCCTCTAACCTCACGGGCTTAACAAGAGTGTTCACCAAAAGGCCCCTCTGACGAACAATGCTTCCCCACCTACCCCCTCATAGACCGAAAATTTCCACCTTTACATGCCGGTTCCTAGAGTCCCTCCTACATCTTTAAACATGCCACCAGCATCACACTGGCAATACCTCGCACATATTTGTTTATTATAGACTCTTAAAGCACCCAACCGAATACCTTGGTAAAATATTCAGCTTTGCTGTGGTGTGAGGGGATGCTCTCTGGAAGAACAGACGGATGAAACAAGGCAATGCAGTTTTTCCTCCTGATTTTTGCTTTGTTAAAGACTTGACATTGGCTAAGATCCCACCATTTATAAACAACAAATTCCAAGGTCCCAGGAGTTTTAAAGATCCATACAGATTGCAGTCCTTGCTCTTAGCACTTACCAGGCAGACAACCACAAACAAACACACGGTACAACTGCTTTGCTGGTGGCAGGAGGATTGTGTACGTAAAGTACGCAGCCCTGAGACTTAGCACAGAGGAGTTGTTTTCTTCTCCCTGTTCTTCCGTGGGAGTCAAAGACAGCTTCACAGAGAAGCCTGCTGTCTTGGAGGATGTGCAGGCAGAGTGGGAGGCGGCAGGCAGCGAGGTGCTGGTGAATGTTTAACAACCGGCACTGCAGGGGGTAGAAAAAGAACGAGAGCAACATTTGTCATTTCCACGGCATAAATTCTCCTGCTGCGGCAGATTTCAAGCTATCAATGTGGTGTCACCGACCACAGCTGGGACCAGATGTGCACGAGCTAGAAAGAGCCCGCTCCAGCACACCACTGGAGGGACCCGGTGAAAGGAACAGCCCATGCAAAGGCGTGGAGGTCCGAAAGTGTCTAGTGATTGCTGGGCTCTTGTCCTGCAGAGTGAGACAGGGGCTGGAGATGAGAAGGGCTGGAGGAGCATGCTTGGTCTGAACCAGGTAATCCGCAAGAAGGCAGGTGTCCCTGTGCTGGGAGAAGCAGATCGTGAAAAAAGAATTCGGGAAGCAGTTTGGGAAGAGATTGCAAAAGACATTGAATGTTTGCAGTTTTCTCTTTTATGCAATTGGTAGTGTTCTGAACCATCAGGTTTGAGAGGAACAACTCCAGGGCCAGTGTGGAGGAATAATTGAAGGACAGGGAGACTGGGAGCAGGGCAACTGGTTCATAAATTTTCAAAATGGTCTTGAAAAGAGATGTAAACTGCTGATGCTTAGTATCTTTGGGCCTCAACTCAGCCATTTCAGTCCTACTCATATATTTTCTACCTCAGTGGGTTCTTTCACTTAGGTCTGTGGAAAACAACAAAAGGAAATAATAAAAATAATTTTAAAAGCACTATTAAATATAAACTATACAATATAGCACTTGTCTTTATCAAACATAAATGTGCATGTGTATATTTTTATATACAGTGAATTCTTGTATATCTGTTCCTCCACAACAGGGAATAGCTTACCTGCTTCTACTTATCCTCTTATTGCTCATTCATCTTGCCTCTTCCTGAGTATCACACTGGTCTCATTAAGCTCTCAGATTGGTTCTGCATTTGGCTTGTCATTCAGTTACACAAGTGCTCACCCCCTTTAACACCAGGAAAGTTTGTTTCTGCAGCTGCAGCGCTCCTGCTGCTCAGGAAGCTGAGCCAGATTTCCTTGGCATTCAGTGTTGGACCTGAACTCCACATCTACCCTGGAGACGGCACACTTTCTCAGGCCTCGGGGCCTAAGCAACACTTCTGGCCACCTGCCTGATAATAGATGGCTGTGGGTCAGTATCAGCTGACTGGGTGGACAGCACCCTGCAGAGTTCTAGAACCCTGGTCAATAGTGGTCCATAAGATGGTCAGGTAACTGCAGCCTCGGTGGTTTTGCCAAAGGTTTGTGATGCATTTCCCCCCAGGGGTGGGCCTGCGCTTCATAAAGGGAGGTATGAGTGTGACAATGTTTGCAAAATCCCGTACCAACTTCCTCTTGCATGCTTTTATTTTTTCCTGTTTTTCTTTTCCTTCTGTATCTGTCACCAGAACTAAGCATTTGCTCCCAAAGCCTGGGATGGCATTGGCTAGCTCCTTTAACTCCTGTAACACCAGCAGGTGGGGACAGCAGCAACAGCAGCAGGGGAGCGGGGAGGGGAGCTGAGCAAGGGTGGAAAAGTCCACTGCAGCTTCTCACACCTCCTCAATCCAACCTCAGAGCCAAGAAGGCGAGTCTACTCACTTCTTCCCAAACACACTGGTATTATGCCAACCCACGTCTCCAGCCTCACTGGAATACCATGGTTAGGAGTGTGGGCCTGAGTCTGATCACCTGATTCCAACCTTGCTTGATCACCTGCTAGCACGTTGACCTCGAGTGGGCCTGACAGATTTAGCAAAAACAAACAGATGCAAACAGGACACCTATTTAAATTTATCTGATAAACAATAAATAATTTTTAGTGTAAGTATGGCCCATGCAATATTTATACTGACGTATTATTTGTTATTTACCAAATTTGACTGGGTGTCCTGTATTTTATCTGGCAATTTTAGATAGGCAAGTTACTTAATTTCTGTGTTTAAGTTTCCTTATCCAGAACTTGAGGATAATAATAATGGGGTTCTCTACCAGAAAGGGTTGTTTTGAGGATTAAATGAGATAATATACGTAAAATGTTAGAAACCTGCCTCCTGGCATACACTGATCAGTGTTACGTGGATATGCAATGGAGTATGGTGAAGTACATGGACTCGGGAGTCATTTAGACCAGGTTCAAGATGACCTTGAGCAAGTTATTTAACTTCTCTGTGCCTCAGTCTCATCATTTACAGAATGGGGACTGTTAAAGGTCTACCCATAAGATGTTGAGAAGAGTAAATAAGACAATGTACGGAAATCATTTAGTACAATGCCTGGCTCAAAGTAAATGTGACAAACAGTATTCTATGTCATAAACAGTCATAAGAACACCCTCCTCCCCTCCCCTCCCCTCCTCAACCCCTGCTCCCACGAGCCATCTTTGCTGTGTACCTTCTCCATCCTATTCTAGTGCGCACTGGTGTTGCTTCCTTCAGATCTCTGCAGTCCTTGTTGATGTCACCAGCTGCTGAACTCTCAACTATATTCTGTCATGCACCATGTGCTACTTGTCCCATTAGCCTTAGCTCATTGGTCAGATCCTAGAAGCCTTTTCCTCCAGCTCACCCCTTTGGGGCTGGGCACAACTTTCCGTACATATCTGTTGATTGATTAACATTTTTTTTTGTTGAAGATTTTATTTATTTATTTTTAGGGAGGGAAGGGAGCGGGGGAGAGGGAGGGAGAGAGAGAGAAACATCAATGTGCGGTTGCTGGGGGTTCTGGCCTGCAACCCAGGAATGTACCCTGGCTGGGAATCGAACCTGGGACACTTTGGTTCCCAGCCCGCACTCAATCCACTGAGCTATGCCAGCCAGGGCTGATTAACTTTTTAGTGCCATCACCATGGACCTGAGGACCAAGAGAACAAGTCGAGCCTGCATATCCAATGACCTCCTTTGTGAAATCAACAGGCAGGGAGGGAGAGTGTCAGTGCAGAGCTCCTGGGGCATGTGGAACCCAGAGAAAGGAAATGAAGCGTGAGGGCTGCCGTTGTCCTGGTCGTGGCCAAGCAAGGGTTTAAGGAGCTTGCCTCCTCCAAGTGTCTGTCTAGGTCCGTGTCACTGGTAGTTTCCTTCTCTGAAATCCTGCTGGTGGCCTTGAGACACGAAGATGTTCAGCACACTGTTACCGAATAGATCAAGGCTAATGCATTGAAAGCACAGCCTTAGACCTTAACAAGGCACAAAACCCAAGTTTTCAGTACATCCCAAACAGTAACAATGGTAAAAACTCTATACCAGTGCTTCTCAACATGGACTGCATATTGCAGTCAGCTGAGTGAGGAACTTGAAAAACTACCCAATTCGCCTTAGCTTGTCTGGGTGGGGGTTCTAGACACCCAGAGTTTCAAAAGAAAACATCCCCAGGTGATTCTTTTTAACTTTTTTTATTTTTCAACTACAGTTTACATTCAATATTGTTTTGTATTGGTTTTGAGTGTACAGCATGGTGGTTGGACAACTATATACTTTAGAAAGTGTTCCCTCCTCCCCAATATTTCCAGACCCACCTGGCACTGTACATTGTTATTGCAATATTATCACATTCCCGGTGCTGTACTTTACATCCCCGAGACTCTTAGGTAACTGCCACTGTGTACTTCCCGATCCCTTCGAGGTTTTCACCCAGTCCTAAACCCCCTCCTCTACGCAACCACCAGTCCGCTCTCTGTATCTATGTATCTGTTTTAATTTTGTTTGTTTGCTAACTTTGTTCTTTGGATTCCACATATAAGTGAAATCACATGGTATTTGTCTTTCTCTGACTGATTTATTTCACAGAACATAATACTCTCTAAATCCATCCATGCTGTTGTAAATGGTAAGATTTCATTCATTTTTAGGGCCAAGCAATATTCCATTGTACATACGTATCACCATTTTATCCACTCGTCTATTGATGGGCACTCGGGCTGCTTCCATATCTTGGCTACTGTAAATAATGCTGCGATGAACATAGGGGTGCAAATATTCTTTCAAATTAGTGTTTTGGGTTTCTTCAGATAAATACCCAGAAGTGGAATGTCTGAATCATAAGACGGTTATATTTTTAATTTTTTGAGGAACCTCCATACTGTTTTCCATGTGGTTACATCAATCTGCATTCCCATCAACAGTGCAAAAGTGTTCCCCTTTCTTCACATCCTTGCCAATACTTGTCATTTATGGATTGATTGATGATAGCTATTCGGACAAGTATGAGATGGTATCTCCTTGTGGTTTTAATTTGCATTTCTCTGACAATTAGTGACACTGAGCATCTTCTCATGTCTCTGTTGGCATCTATATGTCCTTTTTAGACAAGTGCTTATTCAGGTCTTCTGCCCATTTTTTTATTGGAATTTTTTTGGCTGTTGTGTAGTATGAGTTCTTTATAAATTTTGGGTATTAACCCCTTATCCAATGCGTCTCCCATTCAGTAGGTTGTCTTTGTGTTTTGTTGATGGTTTTCTTTGCTGTGCAAACATTTTTTAGTTTTATGTATTCCCATGTGTTCACTTTTTTCTTTTGTTTCCCTTGCCCAAAGAGATTTATTAGAAAAAATATTTCTGAGAGAAATGTCAAAGATTTCCCTGCCTAGGTTTTCTTCCAGGAGTAAAAGCTTCCCAGATGATTCCAATGGTCAGTGGTAGCTGAGAAGCAAGCTCTGCTTATCCTGCTTTAAATGGAAATACCTGCCTGACCTGCGATTTTTCAAAACACAGAATACTTTAAAAATTGGCTACAGGTGTAACCAAACAAAGAGAATCCATCGCTCTCAGCACAGAGCAGAACCAAACATCAAGAGCTGCAGTGGACAAATGAGTCGCTCTATTGCTAGCACCCTGCACGGCGAACGGGAAAGCTATAGCTCGCATTCCCCTGATTGGCTGACAATGGGAGGGTTTTAAGGAGTTGCAGGGAACAGGTATGAGGAAAAGCTGGTGGGACAAATTTAATCGGAGGACCTTGGAACGTGGCCATTAATGGTAAGGGGCTTTAGCACCAGATATTCCTGGACATCCTACCCTTCGTTTCTGAAAG